AGGCAGATAAAGCGCCTGGCTCATTGGAGACACCAAACAAAAGGAAGTCGGAGCTGCTGTTATTATTTCCCTCTGAACCATACACTTCCCGCATAAAGAAACTAAGACTTGAAGAGTTTATGGAAATGACTCTGACCCCTAAGTCCCCCAGACTAAGCCACGGGGCAGGGGCCGAAGTCCTGACTACTTCACAGCGGGGAGGCTGAGGCTCAGAGAGGGGAAGGGACTTGCTGGAAGTCACAAAGCAAGGCAGCAAGGTCCATCTGACCCCCGAGGTATTGCTCGTAACCCCCGTGCCACATCTCAGAGCAGCTGCTGTTTGTGGGGTGCTCATCCCCAAACCTCACACCTGCCTGCCCCTGCAACGGAGCCAAACCAAGGCCGTCCCCTGGGCCCCCTCTTCTCCATCCACCTTGCTCTGCCCACCTCATAAGGGTCTCGAGGGCTGTTTGGCCTCAGTCTGTCCATCTGCAAAAGGGAGCTGACCACCGCAGAGGTCCAAAAGGGTATGAGGAACAAAAAGGCTCAGTGCCTAGCCAACGTTGTGCTCTGTGTTCCCAAATCCCATGCCTGGCCCAAGAGCCTGAAGCACCTAGAGCAGAGCGGACCCTCCCTAGGAGGCCACCAGCCTGCAGGCACAGCTGCTTTGGAGTGCAGGCCCCCACAGGAGCCCATCTCCCTCCAGTCTCTACCATCACTACTGCTAATAACCACATCAATCAGGTTGACCACGTTTCACACCATTACTCGCAGCTCAGCAGGAAGCTATGTCTTTTCCCCCTCACCCACCACCTTCGAGAAGGCAAAGAGCTTTCGAGAAGGGAAGAGAATGAAACGGACATTTTTCTGAATACCTACTATGTGCATGGCACCTGGCTAACCCCTTTTTACAACTCTGCAAGGTAGGGATGGTTCTTTCTCTTTGCCAGAGGAAGAAACTGAGGCCCAGAGGAGTGAATTCATGTGTCCAAGGTCACCCAGAGCGGGGACGAGAACGGCCATGGCAGTGATGTATGACTGAGCGCTCACTGGCTCCCAGTGCCAGGCAAGTGCGTGAGCCTACTGAAATATTATCATTTTCAGATGAGGAAGCTGAGGCTGGAAGCAGGGAAGAGACCTGCCTGAGGTCATACGCTGCACAAACATGAGCCGCGGACTGGTGCCGGCGGACAGGTGGCTCTCAGCTCAGGCAGTAAAGAGCACATGGTCTGGGTCTGTCACTAGCCAGCTTAGAGACCTCGGGCAAACGTCGTCACCTCTCTGAGCCTCAGTCACCTCATCTGAAAGAGGGGAGAGCGAGAACATCCATCCCGTTGTGCGGAAGAACAATGAAGATAAAAACAGTAAAAGCTAACGTACCAGGCACTCTGCCAAACGCTTTACATATGTAAGCTCATTTGGTTAAATGAGGTAATGCATATAAAATGCTTAGCACAGGGCTCCAGAAATGGGAGCGATAATGATGATGATGAAGAAATTGATGAGGATTCCTTTGGGCACATCTCCTTGGTTCATCTTCTTACAGGAAGAACAGGGTGGCCTGTAAGGTTTCAGGAAGGAGGTGGACCCAGAAAGAAGAGGAGGGTTTGGACAGGGGAGGGAAAAGAGGAGCACCTAAAAATTAGGGAGCGAATAGCATTAAGAAGGTCAAGATGATACACCAAGTAGAACTCGGGAAAGGAAGGGACTCTGGTGTTCTACAGAATGGAACCAGACTGAGACGCCCTGGAACCTCCAGGCCAGCCCAGACATCATCCCACAGTCCCAGATGGGCGGGACTGGCAGGACCCCAGCGACACAGAGCAGTGGTCCTCCCCATTTTACAGATGGAAAAACCAAGGTTTGCAGTGGGGAAAAGGCTTGCCTGAGTTCACAGGATGTTAGTGGCACAGCTGGACTGGAATCCAAGCCTCCTGCCTCTCAGCTCAGAGTCTAGCTACCTGCTGCTTCCCACAAAGGAAGAGTACAGGGGGGTACCCCGATGTGTTTGGGCCACAATTCCAGGAAAGCATCCCATGGTGTATATATTAACATAACAATAAGAAGCTATAGTTTATTGAATGCTCACTCTGTGTTTGGCACGGTGCTAAGTTCATTATATGCATTTACTCCTCACAACAACCCTAAGAATTGGCAACTGTTTATATTATCGCTAACAGATGACAAAACTGTGGCCCAGAGAGGGTAAGCCACTTGCCAAAGATCACACAGCTAGGAAGTGACAAAGCCAGGACTCGAACCCAGGACTGTCCTATCAAACTCCAGAGCCCTGTCCCTACACTTGTCCACCTGAACGGTAAAGCCCCCATTTGCTCCTGCTACCGGCCCAGGACACACTCACCCTACTCCCTCACCCACAGCAAGTCTATCCCGACTACAGAAGAGTGTCTAGAACTAGCCTGTTTTACTGTAATGATTAAACGCCATTCAAAAGAGGAAAAATGACAGTTCCTCTTCTAAAGTTTGCAGCTGAGAAACATTTAACAGCCTTTTCCTTCTCGGCCTCTTTCCACTGGGTGGGAAAACAGGCTCCCTTCTCTTTAGGATGATGTCAGGCTGGTGGAGTCCAGCCTCCACGAGTACATGAGAAGCCGTCAGGCAGCAGAGGCTCCTGGGGGTTAGCATCCACTGAAGGGACCCACTCTGCAATCTGCCCTGACAGAGCAATAGAGGCAAGAGAGGAATTTCCAAGTCCCTCCTTGAAAGACCCCTTTCCCCCAAATTATCTCATGTAACTCCCACAAGTGGCCCGAAGCCACCCAGCCAAGTTGTAGAAGAATCAGAATCCCACCCAGGTCTTGCCTAACTCCAGAGCCCCGAGGCTGGCGAACCCTCTAATTGGAAGGGCCGAGGTAGAGACAGCTCTGGAGGCAGGTGAGTGGGAGGCAGGGAGGAGGAAGGACCTCCTGAGGGACCCCGATTGCTCTGGGCCAGAACTACTTATATTTTATAACAAAGAAGGCAACAGAGTATGCTGGCCAACCGCCTGGCTTCAAAGCCTGGCTCCTAACTATAGAACTTTGGGCAAGTTGCTTTATAGGATCATTATGAGGACTGAATAAGTTAATACACGGAAAAGGGCTAACCAGGGCACCTAATGCCCAGTAAATGCCGCCCAAAGCTAATGATTGTTTTCGGCAGCAGCAGAGAATGCGGCAGACTGCCAACAGGGCTTACCTTTGGGGTGTGGGACTGGGCTCAGAAGGAAACGTACCTTTATGTTCTGCTCTGTTTGATTATTTATTGAATCATTTTTTACAATAGGTGTCTATTACTTTTTTAAGAATAGAAGAAAGTCCTAGTTTAAAACTTAAAAATTAACAAGCAGGGGAAAAAAATCCTCGGAAAAGTTTCATCATTTCTTGGCATTTTCTATTCCTCAAAGTATATAAAGAAGGATGTTTCGACTGTGAGCCAGGAGTTGCCAAATAACTGATTCATTAATTTATTTTACAAATATTAATGGAGTGCCAGGCACTGTTCCAGCTGCTGGGGATTTAGGGCGAACAAAACAGATAATCTCTGCCCTTCTGGAGTTTCCATTCTACCTGATTTTAATCAATCCCCTCTGCAACCCTCAAGGATGAGCAATTTACAGAGAGGTGGACCAAGGGAAGGGAAGTCACTTGCCCTGCGTCCCACAGCTGGGAGAAGGGCTCCCAATCTTCAGGACCTGGCTGCTTCTACCACTGCCCAGTAGGGCAAGGCTGCGGATGGCAAGTTTGGGGCTGGCGTCCCCAAGAGGAGAGAAGCAAGATGAATGAGGAGGTATGCACATCCAGGCTCCAAGCTTCACTCTGCATTACTGTATGCACCTGTGCTGGGGGAGAAGTGTAGCTGCGGGCAACAGTGGAGACCAGAGGGTGGAGTTCGGCATCAGTGAGGCTCATGGTCCCCCACCTCACACCCAGCCCTGAGCTCTGCCCACTTACGTCCCTGTGCACCTCTCTGCCTAGAGGCTCAGCTCAGCTTCAAAACCCCCTAGTTGTCAGGCCCGAGCTCTAGGATGGGCAGGAGACCCCCGGCTCCCCTTAACCTGCTCCCCAAATTCACCTGCCATAGCTTGAACTGAAAAGAACTGGTCCTCTTCAGCCTCAAAATTCACTCCACTGGCCTCCCTGAGGCAAGAACCTGAGTTCCCTAAGCTGGGATGAGGCAGTTTCTCCAGATGCTCCCCTCCCCGCCCAGGCACCCAAGGATCCCCCCCACACACACACCCACCCCTGCGCCCTCAGGCAGAGGGGCTGGTCCCTACCCATGATGCTCAGGTGGAACCGACGGCTGATGGAGAGCCCCCGGCTGCAGTGGCCACAGTCAAAGCAGGGAGGGCGGCCAGCACCCAGTTTGTCAGACTGGCCCAGGACCCGGCAGTTCCTTGTGACCCTCTCCAGAGAGGTGGCTCTCCATTCCCAGGCCTGCCCAGTCAGGAGGGTGAAGGCAGGCAGAAACAGCACAAAGGAGGAGGAGGGAACGGTTCTTGGAGTCTAAGATCCCAACACATAGATGAACGTGGACCAGAAATGGTTAGAGATCTAGAGACACACCAAGGAGAAAGCCGGAGACACACAGAGGAGCAGAGACTTTGTGAGAAACACACGGGCACAGACCCGGAGGAAGGGAGAGCCGCGCAACCGAGGAATCTAGAGGAAAACACGGGGCAGGAACCTCAACGGCGGCAGCGAGCAGCACGGGACACACCCCCCCCCGGGCCCCAGCGAGCCACAGTCCCACAGCAGGCCACTCGCAGGGTGCGGGGTGGGCGGGGGAAGCAGGGGGACCGGCGCGCAGGACGCACTCGGGGACCGGGGAGCGCCGGGCGAGGAGCGCACACAAAGAGCCAGCCCGGCCAGCAGGAGCAGGCTCCGCCCGTCCGCTCCGTGACTCCGGCCCACCCCCCACCCGCGACTCGCCGCAGACACGCACGGGGACCCACGGCCCACCCGCGCGCCCGGGACCCCGCCCCGCCGCGCCCCACCCGGCCCCTGCCGCCCGGCGCTCACCAGCTGCAGGCAGCAGAAGGCGACGAGCGTGCAGCGCCCGCTGCACTTGCCCATGGCTCCCGGGGCCGCGCGGGCGGTCCGCCGCGGCGCCCCTCTAGCTCGGCGGCCGCCGCCTCCTCCGCGCCGCGCGGGCTCCGCGTCCTCCCAACTGCGCGCCCCGGGCGGCGGGGCCGGGCGTCTAGGGCCGGGCCCGGGGGCGCCGGGTCCTCAGGGCTGGGGCCGGCCGCTCGCGCTCCGATTCCATGGTCCGTCGGCCCGCGCTGGCTCTGCCGCGCCGCGCCTCCTTTGTCTGGCCGGCCGGCCGCTAGGCGCGCCTCCTGCCCCGGGGCGGCTGGCGGGGAGCGCGGAGCGGAGAGCGCGGGCACCAAGCGCGGCGCGGCGCAGAGCAGCACTGCCCAGCTGGGGCAGCCGCCCGGGCGCTCGGCGGCCGCGGCTTCCCGGCCCCACCACGTGGCTCCGCCGCCGCCACCCGGAGGGAGGGAGGGAGGGAAAGAGGGGCGGGGCGGGGCGGCCGCCGGAGCAGAGAGGAGGGGAGAAGGGGTAGGGAAGTGGAGGGTGGAGGGAGAGACCGGGAGTGAATGGGAAGAGCGCAGGCTTGGCGACTGACGGCCCTGGGCCAGACCCGGACTTAAGGGCTCACGGGCTGTGTGACCTTGGGCGCGTCACGTCCCCTCTCTGGGCCTCAGCTTTCTTAGCAAAGTGGGAATAACGTCTGCTTCAGAGTTGCCAAGAGGGTGAAAAGCAGTTGTGCGACTAAAGCACTTAGCCTTATGCCTGGCCTCCTGAGGGTGCTGGAGCCCTCCTCCCTCCACCCTGTCTCTAGGGCCCCAGGGTTCCAGCCTTGGCCCTCGCTTTCCACTCTGGTTCCCAGTTCTGCTCCTCATCCCAGCCTCCCTCCTGAGTGTCTGGTCACATGTTCGTCCTTCCCTCTTTCCTTCTGCTGGCATTTACTGAGCCCGACTGCATACACCCCCCTGGGGGACCCGGGATCCAGAGATGAGCACTGCAGCGCTGTTGCAGAACCCACTGAGCTTCCCAGTCCAGGGGACAGACAAGCTCCCAGAGACATGAGGGTGAGATGCCTAATGGCAGAGACAGAGGTCCTCCCAAAGGGCCGTGGCCAGCCCCTAACCCCCACTGCAGTGGGGAGGAAGTCAGAAAGCAGAAGACTGCCTTCTTCCAGGCGCCTGGGTGGCTCAGTCGTTAAGCGCCTGCCTTCGGCTCAGGTCATGGTCCCAGGGTCCTGGGATCGAGCCCCACATCGGGCTCCCTGCTCAGCGGGAAGCCTGCTTCTCTCTCTCCCACTCCCCCTGCTTGTGTTCCCTCTCTCGCTGTGTCTCGCTCTGTCAAAAAAATAAGTAAAATCTTAAAAAAAAGAAGACTGCCTTCTTAAAAACACCCTGAAAAGCACTCAAACTTCCAAACACGTGCCAAATCCATTTCATCCTCCCTGCCTCCCTCCTGACTTCCTATAGTCACCTCTGTAGTTCGCATCACTCAGGTATGACACCCTGTGTCATCCTCCGGGTTTCTCTGTCCCATCTGATCATTCTGTGAACGGTACCTTCTCACTAGTATCTATGAAATTCCTACTGTGTGCCAGGCTCCCCGCTAGGGGTAAGGGGATGAACCAGTCTCTATAGCCACTGAGAGAACAGTCCAGCAAGGGACTGTCATTACAACAAGAAAACATACACATAAATACATAATGACAGATTCTGATGAGTGCTCTCAAGGACAATAAAGGGTAAAAGAGAGCATAAGGGGGCACATTCCAGGTGTGGAGACCAGGAAGGGCCCCCTTGAGGAAATGGCGTTAATACTGAGAAGACAATAGGAGGGAACGAGAGGCATAGGAGTGAATAGTGTTTTGGCAGAAGAAACAGAACATTGCCAGCTCTCGCCGTCCTCTCCCCTCTAACTAGCCCTTCTGACCCAGAGAGCAGTGTGATGCAGATCCAGACTCGTGGTTCTGCACCGAAACAACCTAGGTTCCAGTCCCAGCCCTGCCACTTGTATGCTGCTCACATAGTAAGCACTTGAATGCATTATTATGATCTTCTCCTGGGACCAGCTGCGTAATTGGTGGGGTCCGCTGCAAAAGGAAAATGCAAGGCTCCTTGTTAAGAAGCTGAGGGTGACAACCCAGCGGAGCATGAAACCAAGCCCAGGGAGGGCCCTGCATGCCTGGGGAGACTGTGTACCCCTGAAGCCAGAAGCCAGCCCTATCTTCTCCCCAGACTACTAAAATGATCTCCTCACTGGTCCTCTCCCAGCCATTCCTGGGCATGCTGCTGGATATTTTAAAACACACAGGATATTCCTGGAGTTGAAACTACATGTGCTGAGGTTTTCACTTGGAATAACAGGCGGAGGTAACAGTGGGAACTTTCCTCAGCCATGTTTGGTAAGTAACAGCTGTGTCCAACCAGGTGCTATGACTAGACGGGGGCTTCCAGGAGTCTGTGAAGTCCCTGAAATAATATGCAAAGCTTCATGTGAGCAGATGTGCCCTTTTCTGGGGAGAGGCTCCACGGCTTTCATTAGATTCTTCAAAGAGTCTGTCTCCCACAAAAGAATGAGAACTAGCCCCACGAAGCCTCGGCCCAGATGTAATGGTTCTCTAGCAGATCCTCTTTGGGGCCTCTTCCAGATAGAGCCTCTGCCAGCTTCCTCCGTGACCCTAACAATGCAATTCAATAATTTTTTCTTTAAAGATTTTATTTATTTGAGAGAGAGAGAATGAGAGACAGAGAGCACGAGAGGGAAGAGGGTCAGAGGGAGAAGCAGACCCCCCACCGAGCAGGGAGCCCGACATGGGACTCGATCCCGGGACTCCAGGATCATGACCTGAGCCGAAGGCAGTCGCCCAACCAACTGAGCCACCCAGGCGCCCTGCAATTCAATAATATTAACAATAATAGCTACCAGGTATTGAGTGCTTACTCTAGCCGGGTGCTTGACATATATTATCTCATTTAATCCCTATAACAGCAGTGGGGTCCACTGAGGCTATAACCAGCCCTTGCCAGCTCCCGGCTGGATCACATCATGCCTGGGACACCCTGTTCCAAGGCCTGGCTGAAGCACTCTTTTTTTTTTTTTTTTTAAGATTTTATTTATTTATTTGACAGACACAACGAGAGAGGGAACACAAGCAGGGGGAGTGGGAAAGGAGAAGCAGGCTTCCCGCTGAGCAGGGAGCCCAATGCGGGGCTCGATCCCAGAACCCTGGGATCATGACTTGAGCCAAAGGCAGATGCTTAACAACTAAGCCACCCAAGCGCCCCTGGCTGAAGCACTCTTAAGTCTGTCCCCCGGGACAAAGGAGGGCCTATCTGACCTCAGCAGAATTAGCGTCTGGCCCCCAGTCATTCCAGAGTCCAAGCCTTGCCCCAATGAAGCCACACACATACCATGACATCTTCCAAGCTTTGCATGTTTTGTTCTGTCTAGAGTGTGTCTCCCATCTAAATTCTTAGCCCGAAGAACTGCAAATTTCAAATCTCAGCTCAACTGTCACTTCCTTTCGGAGGCCTTCCTTGACCCCCTGTGACCCAGGGTGGTGCCCCACATTTGGGCTGGCAGTGGTCTGTGCTACCTCCCTCAAAGCTTTTACTGGGATTTACTGTACTTGTCCAATTTCGCTGGATTCCCCCAATAGACTGAGCTCTCTGCAGATAGCAACTGGGTCATATATTATCTCTATATCCCACCGGGCTTGGATGGTGTCAGGAGTCAGCAAATATGGGGTGAATGAATGATCTTCCTGGCCCCGGGCTTCAGCACACCTCATGCCCTCTTTACCCCCTGGAAGTCCAGGGTTCTCAGGGGGAAGGTGGTCTAATTGTAGGAACAGCCAGAAACAGCTTTGAAAGACATGGGGGGAGGGGATTCGGAGTCGGGGATGACGTCCAGAGGGGCTGGTAATAGCCGGCATGAAGGATGACTAACCCCTCAAGTAGGGAAAGACTGTGGGGCAAACAAAGCAGGATTTAGAAATGAAGGACAGAGATGATTCAGAGCATAGCCACACTTCCTGAGTGAGGAGGCAGAATCATGGGCAGCCCTGGAGAGAGGCACAGGCGGGGCTGCTGCGGGCCTGAGATTTACCGGGTGGTAAGGAGTTCCTCCTTTGCACTAAACCAAGAAGTCACAGGGTCTGAATCTTCCACCATAGTCCCTCTGAGGGTTAACACTGAGAGTTCCCGAGAAAGTTCACTCATGAGATAGCTGAAATGTTGAGCCTATTAATTTCTCCTTCTTCCATGGTAGAGGACGGAATGTGCTCACTAATGATAGTTTCTGGGGTATTTTCTGACACCAACCAATTCTCCAACACCAACTGGTTGTCCAACGATTCACTTCAGTTCGGACACTGACTACCAAGAAGGAGCGCAGCCCCGCAGTTAAGGGTCAGTCCCACAAGACCGCCCGCACTCCGCAGATTGCCAGTTGCAGTCTCTGGTCACCCCTGCTTCTCACCAATCAGCTCTAAGTCGGGGGTCCCCATGACCTCCTCCTCAGGTTCCATAATTCACTCGTGAACAGCTCACAGAACTCAGGAAGGTACTTGACTTACCTTTACTGGTTTCTTATAAAGGATACAAACGAACAGCCAGATGAAGAGGTAGGTCAGGCAATGTCTGGAAGGGTCCCAGACACTTCTCTCTCTGTGGGGTTGGGGTGCACCACACTTCTAGTGGGTTCACCAGCCCGGAAGCTGCTCTGGATCTCATTGCTCAAGAGATTTTATAGAGTTCAGTCTGCAGGGCCTCCTCAACCAGGTCTTCCCAGAGATGAGTGTGAGCAGCTGAAAGTTTCCCCTCTTAGCACTTGGTCTGTCTGGTGACCAGTCCCATCCTGAGTCTGTTGGGGGTCCCATCCTAAGGTCCCCTCCTAAGTCCCCTCATTAGAAAAAATGCAGATGTGATCCAAGGGGACTCAGAAATAACAAAAGGCAATCCTATCACTGAGGAAATTCCAGGAATTTTAGTAGATCTCAGAAATGGGGACAAAGACCAAATATATTTTATATAATATCACAATAGCTAACGTCT